GGAAGTACGCTTGGGACTGCATTATTACCTTTACCTGTAATTAATAGACTACCATTTTGCCTGAGTACTTCCAGTAACCATATAACCACCCCTTAGTACGGCTTACCTCTGATTGGCAATAGGAGGTGGACAAATGTAAGGAGTTCTGCGTTTCTCCTTTCCTCCTCTGTTTTCATGCTCTTAAAACGAGTGGAATGGCTAGAGAAGAGCATATATAGTTTGATAGGTGTCGCAAAAGTGTGCAGGGAATAGTTATACCAGTGGGAGATCATCTCCAATTTAGGGGTCAATGGCGCCCGCTCAGGCAAGGAGTTCACGTGGGCTGGCCTCTTCTCGCCTGGAAGCTACCCTTACATAAACATAGGTTACGAAGACTAGCTTAAGGAAGAGAGTTAAATTTGCCTTGGAAGCTTAAATTTGCCACAAGCATAAAAGGGCTAAACGACAAAATTTCCATTGAAGATAAGGATATAAACACACGCACGACCTTTTAGTTAATCTGCGTTTTGAATCCATGAAAATCCTCACTCTCATTCACGAACAGGCACCTGAAAGTAGTAAGCACCCATTTTTACGTTTCTAAACGTTCTTCAACTTCAAAGTGTATTTCTCTCGATAGAATATGATTTCTGTAGTAACTACCAGAGTGCTCGATTATTTACCACCTTGTTACGAAACAGACCCTAAAAAACCCGACCCTATTTATTCAACGGACCTAGGGGTCACATACATGAGAGGCAATTACTGCAAAAGGCATAAATCAGTTCCGATGGGACAAACAAAGCAGGATGAGTGAGACTCATGTAAGAACAATAGAGCACCTGAAGCGCAGTGTCATCTTCCCCGGATTCTTGCTAATGAGGAGACTAAGCCTCAAGATGGTTAACATTGCAGCAGTTCACAATAATAAAGACCAACTGGATGCTCGTGATCAAAAGTGACAACTGCTGCACAGTATGACTGGAGCCAAACTCCTCAGAAGGTAGGCCAGCCAGAATGAGGTGCAGTCGAACCTCTAAAGAGCATAAAGGTTAAATGAAAGCTTCGTTCTAATATCTGTAGAGCTAGGACTGTGGCAGAATTTGCTCCAGAATTGGTATCTATTGAAGTTTTAATATCTATCAATATCAAAACTGCATGCGAGCAAACTGCTTATTTCTTTTCCGGTAACATGCATATGCGTCTAGGACAAGATACAAATTCGGAAGATGATGCACCCGATCTGCGTAGTGCTGCTAACCAACCAGGATATTCCAGTGGGAATGGAGAATGCCTGATCGCTCACATGAGTGACCAGTGAGAAGTCGGCTTGGTGAATGGCGTAACACACACAGTTTGATTGGTCTAGTCGTGGAAGTACAAGTCATGAGGTGAATTTGGAGGCAGAGGTCTTGTTGATACGTGTGAATAGGCCAAAAGAGGAAAATGCTTCGTCGCAGTGTTTCGTCTTCGGCAAATTCGTACACACCTTCCTATCGACCGGCAACAAGGAGCCATACGTAAGTGAAGCGGAGCATCCACTCCTATGAACCATTGGCAACGATTGACATTAAGTGTTTTTTATAAGAAATACTGATGATAATTCCATTCGCTGTTTAGTACGGTAGCCTTACCACGTTTCTTGTTAAGATAAAGCCTACCTTTTCGGGACCTGAAGTTATGGTGACTACACTCACATACTTACCCATTTTCAAAGTATCACTTTCAAGCAGAATAAAATAACAGGTGACTGGTCGCCTGAGAACCACTGTCTGACCATCTTGGAGACCAGGTCCACTACACATTTAATGATGCATGTTCAGCCCTCAGAGAGCAAGCCAAATATTTGTTGTTAAAAATGGTTGAGATGAGTGAAGTGGAATGCCTCCTTGAAACCCATCAATTCCTCAAGACACTTTTGGTAGTTGGGAAAGTGAAGCGAATGCCGTTACTCACTTCGTGCACAGATGCAATTGAGACTGCTGACACAGAAATGCCAAACTCATTCATTTGATGAATGGATGCAGTTAGTACATCAGCTCAAAACCAAACGTACAATGAAGCGTAGAAAAGTCTCTTTCTGGGTTTTGCTTGAGTCAAGTAAAGCATATTCATCGTTTCCTTAATTCGCGTACACTCATTTGTGACAACGAGCGTTTTTTACAGAATTATTGTGCTAAACGTGAGCAAACACAAATTGCGTTGCACACGGTCCCTTGGGGGAAGCCCAGTTTCATGGAACAGGAAACTGCAGTACAACCACTGGTCAAATCGTAAGCTTCTCGCCTTACCATTCTACTCCGTCTCTGGCCCCACTTTGTGCCGCTCTCATGTGGCAGTCCATCAGGTTTGAGTGGCATTGGCGAGATTTAAGCATGACGCTATGGCAAACACTCGTTGAATCTTACTTTAATTTAAAAAATTGAAGATTCAGCAGTAGACAGTGGCTCGTCTCAGGTCTCATTGTGACTTCACCTTCGTTTCAATGCTGAATGCTGAGTTTTTGGTGGGGCAAAATTGACTGCACATTAGTGACACTTACGCTTGTTCCAGATTGCCTAACTAAACAAGCATGATGATTTTAGAAAATCACCAGTTTTTAATTGGTTGAGAGAACATATCTATTCTTACAATGCTATTACAATTTGTTCATCACTGTGTAGCCCTAGTTCGTCAACGGTTTCGTTAAGGTCATGATGGTAGTGCATGGACTGCGACATGTTCGACCTTGAGAGCAGTTGTAATTCTTCAGCCCTGTCAAGGGAAACGGTAACACAAGTGGAATCACTCTTATTGTTAAGCAGTTGTTTTATTCACCTTGGATTTTCGGCTTCCAGTCTCATGGACACCACCACATCAGTGGTCGAATGTTGAGTGAAATAGCTAAGTAGCTACCGGCAAATATTACTTAGTACAAGATAGAGACTAGAGCAGAGCTTAACATCCTCTTGGTCCCTTTGTGCTCTAGGTCTAGCCCATCGTGTGTTGAATT